GGAAGGAAGGAAGGAAGGAAGGAAGGAAGGAAGGAAGGAAGGAAGGAGGGAAGGAAGGGAAAAAGAAAAGAAAGAACTTATTTTGATTTGCTCTCTTCAAACACATATTTGCACCTTTTTCATTTTTTGCAGGAAAAAAAAAATTCTTTTCCATTATAATAAAATTGCATTGAACCTGCATAGTAAAAATACATGAAATAATGCAACATGCTAAATAAAGTAATAAGTTTAATTCTGTTTCTGCTGCCACTGGATTCTTGCTAACTGTCTCTCCTTTCGGCTTGACATCAATTAATGACTTCAACTCCAGACTCTGTCACAGTGCCCAGCACCCGTCTCTAATTAAAATGGACGCTGTGTGGCAGGAACAAAGCACACGCGATTTCTGCTCTGGTAACGTCTCTGCTCATTAGTATTTGTGTTTTTACAATACCTGGCTTTTAGTCCTGATTGCAGGAGAGAAACATGTAGAGAACATGTTTGTGACTGAACAGCATCTTTATTTATCCAGAGCAGGTACACGGAATCACCAGATAAAGTCTACAGTGCTGAATCCCTCAGCTACCTAGAAAATGGCCCTACTTCCAAAACAGAGGGATTTGACACAGAGACTCAGCCATGGGAGGGCAGGGTTTGCACCCAGGACCTAATGCATGCTCAGTGAGTGCTCTATGACAGGACTAAATCGCTGGTTAAGGTTGAGGTTTTTCTTTTTCTCTCCAGAGAGTATTTTATTACGTTGTCCAGGCTGTCCTTGAACTCTCAGCAAGCTTGGAACTTGTGACCCATTTGCCTTGGTCTTCTGGATTGATGGGTTAAATGCCTGAACTACCAAGCCTGCCTGCATGGTACAATGAAAAAGAAAAAAAGACTTTAAGAAGCCTAAACAGGCCTTCTAGTAATTATATAATCGGTTAATTCTTTTGGTGCTGGGAATTCAAAGTAAGATTTTATTCATGCTAAGCACATACTCAACCACTGAGCTATACTCTCAATCTCTAGAACTTCGGATTTTCTCACCTCCAACTCATGACAGAGCTCTGGGGTTGGAAGCCCGGCTCTGTGTACCAGGTGGGCTCTGTCACCTGAGCACATAGCCAACCCCTTTTCTGGGAGGACAGGAAAGGGGGCCGTGAGCTATTCATTTCCTTAGCCTCCCGCTAGAATTATGTGTGTGAGCCACCGTGTCCAGCAACCTTTAATAATTTTATTTTTGTGGTGGGATTGCAGTTCGGGGGGAGATGGCTTGCTCAGCATGCGGAAGGCACAGAGTTTTATCCATCGCGCCACACCCACGTAAACACCTGGTTAATGTTTACAGAAGTGTATTATATAAGATCAGCCCAACACGAAACAATTGGAAACAGTTTGGTCGCTTTATGCTGTGTAGCTGCCGGCTTTCTTGAAGACAGAATGGATGACCTTAGGATCAAATGGCTCTTCCGTGAGAATCATCTGCTCCAGCATGCTGCTCCAGAAGTCTCGCTCTAGAGACACAGTTCTTATATTTTCTCTCTCTGGAAACAATTCTGCTGAAATTCACGAGAGCAAGCCTACACTCAGGGAAAGATTAAACTTAAGCGCTGGCTTGGCTGTTGTGTGGGCAACAGGACACGAGGACGTGGGGTTAAATGACGGTCCAGGCTCGGGAGAACTGAGCTCATGTCCACCACCAGAACAGACCAGTGTTTTAGGGATGACGTGTAAACATCATAGATGGTTTTCTTCCCATTTTCCAATATTTGCTTCTTATGTAATGGGCTTCACGAAAGTGTGCAGGCAAGAAGATATTTTGGTTTGGGAGACATGTCATGGCTCATTAATGAAGAAATTTCAGATTTTATACTTTATGTACAATCAACCAAAAACTCTGGAACTCAAATAGCTCCAGTGTAAAATAATGTTACAGAAGGAATGTTGCGCTAGCCCACAGAGAGTGGGTGAGGCTCTGGGGAGGAGGCCTTTTCTGGTTATTTTATCTACTACAATCCCATTTTCCCAAGGAAGTTACAGCATCCCTTCTCAAAGCAGCCTGTTCACGTCAAACTCAGCATGAAGGGAAAACAGACAAGAGAGGACCTGGCACCCATGACGAGCACCGAACACGCAGTGGGACTCGGCACCCACCACAAGCCTCAAAGCATGATAGCGTCCGAGAAGCACTGAGGACGCCCTAGCACCATCATAAGCATCAAATAATCTATGTGCTGCCATCAGCGCCAGCTTGTTACCCATGCTGTGATACAATCTAAGATTCGTATAAAACACACTTTTTAAAAGTATTAAGCCACGAAGAGCCATGATTTGCTCAAATTCCAAGTGCAATTGGTTTTTTATAGGCCAGTCACTTTTTGCTTCAATGCAAAAGGTTTTTGTTCTAAGCCCATGTGCAAGGTAAGTTTACGATGAGCAACTGAGTTCCCAGAGCACTGCAGACAGAGTAAAAGCTGAACTGAGACATGAACTGTGCTTTGGGCAAATTACTAGCATAAATGAAGCTATGAGGTGAAATTCATTATTTAGTTGGACACATTTGACTACGTGTTACGAAAGTATCTTAGAAACGTCAGTAAAATTCTTTAGGGAAGGGCAGAGGCAACCCAGCTGCACAGCGAGTATCTAGAGTGTGAAAGTCTTTGCAACCTTGGCCAATTTCAGCACACGGAAGCAGAGTGTGTCTTTATCACTCTCTAAGGAGCCAAGTCTGCTCTCAGTAACGTGCAGACCCTAACCTGCTATGTTCTTTGTTTAGAAAAAAGAAACTTTTGGAGTGTGAAAGTGATGGGCCTATTAGGGAAGAGGCGGCAGGTGAAGGATGCCGTCGCCTGCGAGGATCGGGAGGCCGCTGGCCACAGTGCAGCACAGGCGAGAACCTCCTATCTGCACGACTAACACTACAGGAAAATCGGGAGCGGAGGTTAGCCCAAGGGTAGAATTTCTAGCATGCGGGATCCCTGGGCACCTTTCCTAGAACAAAGATCAATAGACAGATAATAAATAAAGACAAATGTTGAGGGAAACTCATACTTGTGTCATGTGTTCAAACCCCGTGTTTTTATCCACAACCTAGAAAGCCAGCGAACGGAGTAACTGCTCCATTGAAAACAAAGACAAATGAAAATCAAAATTCCCCAGAGAAAGATGAATGAAGAACATCCGCAAGCTAATTTGTATAAAGGAAGCTGTTGAGCTGGGGCGCAGCTCGGAGGGAGGGAGCTTGCTTGACGTGTGAGAGATTCCAGGTCCATCCCCCACTGCACAACCAACCCAGAAGCATCCTCAGCCTGCAGAGGGACACTATTTTAGTTTTCCTACTTATTCCTTAGTACAAGACACCCCGACTTCAGAAACGTAAACACATACCTGTGCTCAAGGGTGCTAGATAAGCTAACAGACAAAAGGAAACGCACTCGAACCCCAGATTTTGAAAGGCAAATTCTTTATGAGCACAGTGCATCTGGCTGTTCAGGAAATGTGAGGTAGAGGACGGAAGGGAGCGCCTACAATCTCGGGACTGGGGAGGGGGAGACGGGAGGCTTCGTGGGCCTTGCTGGTCAGCTCTAGGTACAGTGAAGAAGCCTTTTCTCAAAAACCCAAGAGGAAGACACCGGATCCCACAGCCCCATGGACACATATAGATGCACATACTTCACACACACTCAGTAAATAAGTTCGGTGTTAATGGACACCCAGCCACTATGCAAAAAGTCTTAATTAAAACCATTAAAATTCACTTAGGTCCAAATGAAAATAAAGGTTTCTGCTTTTTCTTTTTAAAAGTCTTCCTTTGTGTTACATTCATTCAAAATCATCACACAGGCATTACAGTTACGTGCAAACTATTTCCACTTGAGAGAAAAGCAGTAGATAGGCAGCCAAGAGTGAGGGAGGGCTTCTGCCAGGGAGCAGGGGCTGGGACCCTGAGGCCTACCTCTCCTGCTCCTCCTTCATCCGCACCCTGTCCTCTTCTGAGGTGAAGGAATCCTGGATCTTTATTCGACCCGTTTTCTCCATCTTGTCGTCTTTCCGATGTTTGCCAAACCTATTGGTAATGAAAAATTCTACCTTGTCAATGCATACACAGCAAGACATCCTTCCTCGGACACACAAATGCCTAAGTTAGAGATGAGCTTCCTCATGACGCAGCCCAGACGTCTTCTGAGTGCATCATCTCCAATTAAAGAATACTATTAAACTTCAATTAGAATACTTCAGGCAAAACCTTTTCAGGAGGACCACTCCCCACCCCTCAGTACCCATATTTTTATGTTGTTTGGTAAAACAACATGAAATGAGCCAGGCGAGCCAGTTGATTTTTCTGAGGGGCTGAGGAGCACCCCAGTTGGTGGGATTTTTGCACAGCGTTCACAAAACCCTGGGTTCCAGCTCTATCACCCCCCCCGAAAGGGACAAGAGGACCAGAAGAGTTCAAAGTCACCCTTATCTACAGAGCGAGTCTAAGGTCAGCCTGAACTGTAAGAGATGCTACCTCAAAAACAGCAAAAGAAAGATTTGCAGTTGATCCCATGAAACAAGCAAATAATAAATGTGCAGAATGACAGGCTGAACACTTCAGATACCAGAAGGAAAAGAAAATCTTCACAGAGGGAGCTCCTCATAGGACTAAAGACTGACAATCCAAAATCATCTAGTTAATGACCTTTCTGTAAGCAATGATTCTTCTTTATTTTCACGGGGTAGGCTTATTGGGAACATTCATCATAGTTTAAAACCTGACAAACGTTTGCAAGGTTTAAAGCAAAGAGAATAATTTCTGCTGCTAGATTGGAGCTGATTAAACTCAAAGCTTTTGGGGCATCTTCACCGAAAACACTCTCCTCAGGCCGGCGAGCAACTGCAGGAGGATGCCTTTGACTTAGAAATCCGCACCTGATCTAAAACCAAATGCAAGGAAGGCACCTGTGACTTGGCCTATGCACGGCTGCAGATGGATGCCAAGCCCAGGGCTCTTTAAGAAAATGCCATGCTGGTGTATGCTGGCATCCAAAACGCCACAGACGCTTCCAGCTTCATGTGGACTCTTTCTCCTGCTGTTATTTTCCCCCATAAAAGCCCACGTGCCCTGCGACGCTTGTCTTCCATGGTCTCCCGTCAGATTCGCGCCTGAGGACTGTCAAGTCACCAGCTGTCTCAGTGAAGAAATCGCAGGCACACAGTCGCACAAAGAAATGATCATTAATGAAAATGGGGGGGGGGGCTGAGTCCTTTCGTCTGAGGAGGTGACTCAGGACAGAAAGAGGTAAAATTGGGGGCAGGAAAGCTCCTCATCCCAGTGTGGGTGAAGCCTCTAGGCACTGGAGAATCAAGAACTGAACACAAACAACTTTCTCCCTTTCCAGCTACAAACCTGTGATTCTCCAGGAATCTCACCCAAAACCCCCTTTTACGGTGAAGGCTTAGTCTGCAGCCCTTGTACAATCCTGTCAGATTGCAGCTGCTGCCCAGGCACCTCGGGAGCCACTGACAATCTCAGCTACAAGAACAGAGGGTCCCTTAGAGTCTCCAACAGCCCTGTTCACAGTGACCACTGCGGTACTTGAAGGGCTCTGCCCCTGCAGGCCGTCCTACCCGCATTTGGGTATCTTACTCCTTCCCGAGAAACTCTTAGTTCTCTTGACCCGCCATGCTTAAGATCCTTCTTAAAGTACCCTTAGTGAACTGTGACTCTTGAGGAGTCTATACCCACGCTCTTGAGTGTGCCATATTCTTCCCCTAATCACCCTTCCGCTTTTTAAATAAACTCCAACAGGGTTTCATACTGGCTTGTCCTGAAATTCCTTTCTGACCAAAACCAAGGACCTGGTTTTACCCAGATTGGAGCTTTTCAGCTGGTGGTGAGAAGGCAGGCCTGTGGCTTCCACTCAATGCTGCCGGCTAGGCGAAGAACCAGGAGTGAGGTTTACAGTGACAATCCCACATCAGAGAGAAGAGCGAAGGCGTACTCGTACAGTTGACAGGTAAGAGAAAAAGGCTTCAATTCAGTGGTTCTTAGTGGCATGGGTCATTTCTTATTAGGATAAATCTCATGTAAGCCCCTGGCCACACATGAATTATCCAGTGCAGAGCATAGGCAGTAATTAAGATACACTGTGTTTGCCAAGAGGTTTATGAACCAGGAGGCCATCACCACAATAGTGTGACAGAAAAAGTTTACATATTGCCATCAACGCTCATTTAAAACTATATATTCTAATGTGAGAAAATACTCAAAATTGGCTACCAGTTATTCCTATAAAGCATATCTGATCTTGACATTTGATCTTATTTAGAAACTAGATAGTAACCATACCTGGAAAATGAAGGGCAGGAGAAAAAAGGATCAATGAACAACAGTAAGTCCAGAATCTGCCCACTTTTCATAGGGGAGAAGACACGTACTGGGCCTTTAAAACTAATTTATAAAATACTAAATATATAAAAAATAAAAATACACAAAATAAAACTTATATACACACACAAATGTATAAAACACAGATATTTATGTCTATATAAAAGCACACACATATATGTAAAGCCTGGGAGTTAAGCATTATAAGGTTAATGAATGAAAGAATAAAGCAGCAAATATAGCAACGTGCACCTCAGGAAACATCAGCCCTTCATCATTATTGAGTATCTCCTTGTCCGGGACTGGTGCACCTGCACACGCATGCCCTGTCATGGAGCCTCCATTCCAGCCTGTGTTTAGCTGGAACAGCAGGATGAGACGGACAAGGAGCACACAGTGTGTAAAGAAGAGTGACAGGGAGAGCCAGAGAGTCTCTGTTAGAGGATTAAAGATGGCTTTCTGGAGGGGAGGGCACTGAACACAGATCATCCAGACGTGCGGGAGCCAGGCGCACTGAGGAGCCAGCACAGGCTGAAGCTGGGACTCAAGCTGGTCACGCACTTCCCCGCTGTGCCCTGGCACGTCCCTAGAACCCCACAAACTCGGCATGGTGGCACAACCTCAGCACTCAGGAGGTACTGGCAGGAGGATCTGCGGTTCAAGCTCATCCTTCAGAAACTCTTGTCTCAGTATAAAATAAAACATGATGTAAGAGCTAGCACAAGCGCCCTGAGGCGAGGTACAATGATTGTCTTTGAGGAAGCACATAGGCCACAAATCCAAGAGTGACACTGGCTGGCAGCTGGCAATAACAGTTACACTGTAAGAAGCCGAGTCCTGGAGGGAAACTGTGCTGGGGTGCAGAGAGGGGTGGAGAAGGCAGTACACAGAAATGCTAGGGTCTGCAGACGGGGAGGCTCCAGGCAGCGTAGAGAATCATTGTCGCCTCCTAAGTCTGGTCCATCCCCTGGAAGACAGACAACTGTCCACCCAGTGACACACAGGCAGGGAGGGAGACTGTCTGGTAGCTGAGGAGTGAGAGAATCACAGCCAAGACCCAGCAGACAGCCCGAGGCTAGACAACCTGAAAACTGTGCAACTAGGCAGCAGCTGGACAGATGAAAGGAACTTCCAGAAAAGTCTACGCCCAGGGGCTGTGGAGGAGATGCCTTAGTCAGTAAGTACTTGTCTATCAGAAATGAAGAACTGAGTTCAAGTCCTAATACCCACATACAATGGCGAGATAATGGAGGCTATGCTGTGATCCCAGTGCTGGAGGGGAAGCCTAGCCTTATTGCTGGACCTCAGGCCTCAAGGACAGGCCACCCTAAAAAACAAGTAGTTGGTGACTCCCCTGCCTGAGGCTGGCCTTTGACCATCACACACACACACACACACACACACACACACACACACACAGTTCACATAAACATTAACATTGTGTGTCCTTAGGTAGCTATGGAGGTGATTACAGCCATTTAGTTTTTCGTTTGTAAATGTCCCTCAGATGACACGCTGTTGCCATGGCGATTCAGGTTATTCTGAGAGGATAATGTACGCCTGTGCACTGGGTAATCCTCTTGGGGAAAACTGAGATTTATCGTTTATGTTTTTAAGCCAGGCCTTGTGCATGCTATACGGATACTCTGCCAGTGAAATAACATCTTAGAAAAACTCAGTTGTGTGTACATTCCTGTTCATAATCCAGGTATGAATGCCTGAGAATGTCCACGTTGCAGGGTCTCACTGATCTCAGCTCCACAGTGCAAGCCAGGCCACCTGAGAGTGGCTATGGCAGAGAGGTAGGCTAAAGCAGGTATCTGGTCAGGCACAGGAAAGCTCAAAGCAAGCAAGACAACCCCAAGTGGGTGCACTAAAGGCTGTTTCTATGTGGCAAGAACCATCACTAACAATTAATGCCTATTAAGTTCTCCCTGATGTTAAATAATGGCCCTCCGGTGTTCAGGAAAGCCGTGTAAGCACTGCTGAAGTCACTTGCCATTTAAACAGTGATGGTTCTAAAGCTACTAAGACGAGGCGTCTTCAAAAGAAACACATCGATGAGAAGGGAGTGTTCTTCTCTACATAACGAAAAAAATGGCCGTTGGTTGTGACTTTCCCCAAAACAGAGTTTTAAAACACGATACAATAAAAAAAAAAAAAAAATTATTAAAAACCTGCTGCCATAAAAAAAAAAAAAACAAAAAAAAACCAACCCTGCTAATTACGAGGGCCCTGTGACTGAGGAGTTTTTCCCCATGATGTATATGGCACTATTTACCTCATGAAATGTGTGGGTTAGAATACATGACACTGTGCGGCTGTGGAAGAGGCCTTAACTGGTCATCTACTAGTTTGGCACCAGAACCTCCAACCTAGCACCACTGTGAGGCGGGGGTCCTGAATCTGGCTCACCATTTCCAGACCCTTGAGCTAGCATGACTCATCACTTCCTCTGAGAATTCACTTCTTTCTGGAACCTTCATTTGTTTTTGGCATCTGCCAGCCATGCATGCTGTCCTTGGCCACTGCTGTCAGTGATGACGCTGTCTTCTGCCCCGAAGACCCTTCAGGTAGATCAGCCGCCCAGCAGGCCAGGAGAAGTCGGCAAACATCAAAATCCAGTGCCATGCTTGCTCTGTGTGACGCTGAGCACAGGCTTATCCCGTCAAAGCTAAATACCACCTTCCTCT